GCTCAGAGCTTCCAGGGATACGGAGCTGAACTGGGAAGCTTGCTGGACCCAATATTCCGGACGGGGAATTTATTTTCACCCCCAGAGGTTATGGATCTTACGTGTTTCCTGACATGTGTGAGAAGGGAGGAAAACTGCCAGCTTTGAGTTGCTGTGATCTCCTGCCAGGAAGGGCAGTGGGAGATGCTGGTGATCGGAGCCAAGAGCCAAGATAGACGGCTGCTTCGGAGGACCAGCTTGCTGGCAGAGTGAGTACGCTTGAAGCCCCGGGGGGAGGAGATGGCTGCTGCTCAGGCACAGGGCCATGAGAGCTTCAATATCCCCTTCGAAAGGCTGCATGGAGCCAATTGGGAAGCCTGGAGTACACGCATGTACTACTGGCTGGAAGAAAGGAAGCTTTGGGATTACACCCAAGCTGATCCAGTCCTTGCCCAGCCCAGTGAGAGGTCTGCAGGAGCAGTGGAAGCAGACGTGGCTGCTCTGAAGAGAGAGCAAAGGGTGCTAGCAATCCTGAGGGCCAGCGTTGATACTTGGCTGTTGCCAAGGCTGCAAGGGAGTAAGCCCTGGGTCGCGTGGCAGGCACTGAAGATGGCATGTCAAGCCTCAGTGGGAGCCAGGCCAGAGGGGGCTGAGAGTTGCCCAGAGAAAGCATCAAGCCCAGAGGGGGCTGGAGCAGTGTTGGAAAGCTGCTTTTATGCTTCAACACATCTGTGTGATGGACTGTGTGCTGGAGAGAGGCTGAGAGCTGGCAAGAGGAAGGCAGTTGCAAGCTGTTCCTCAGGCAGACAGGCACCCAACAGTGGGGGTGCAGGCCATGCAAGCCGACGCAAGAGCTCTGAGAAAGCGAAAGTCTCCAAGAGTTGTTTGTGCTCTGAGGCGACGTCCAACAGCGCTGGGAAGCATCCGCTGGAAGCCCAGGCTGTCAAGGACACCAGCTGGAGTGGAATGTCAACAAAGCAGGTTCCCAGAGCTAGACGTGGGAAAGCTGCAGGCCAGGAGAAAAACAAAGACAAGGCGTCTTATCACCTCACAGCTGCGACAGTGTGCCTGGGAAAAGGCAAAAGCCTTGATCGGGGGGAGGCTGTGTGCATGGCAACCAGACAGAACACTGACTTTGACTCTTGCAGAGGCCCCGGTGGGGGTGCGAGCGTTGCCATGGCAGCTTTGGAAGACAGCCAGAGAGACACTGTATCTCTAATTATAGACACGGGAGCGACTCACTGTCTTGTGCCATCTGCTGGGCTCCTGAGGAACTGCAAGACAGTTAAAACTGGACGTTATGTCAAAATGGCAGATGGAGTTAAAAGACCACTGACTAAATCTGGGTCTTTATATTGTTCTTTTCTAGATTGTTGGGTGCAAGCTTATGTTGTCCCAGAGCTTGCGCACTCTCTTTTAAGTGTAACAGCCTTAAATGATGAAGGGTTCGATGTTCGGTTCTCTAACAAATTATGCTCTTTTTACAGGGATGGAAAGAAGGTCTACAGCGTTGAGAGAACAGACAGGCTCTTTCTGGTGCAGATGCCTGTTGGAAATGGGGCTGGTGGAGAAGTGGGACTAGTGGAAAATGGGACTGGTGGAAAAATGGGGCTGGTGGAAAATGGGGCTAGTGGAGAGTCCATTGAAGACGCACAAGTGCAGTGTGCTAATGTCCCACCACACAATGATTGTATTCATCTGTGGCACCGAAAATTTTGTCACGCTGGGTGGTCGTCTGTGCGAAAAGCCGCAGAGAACACCATTGGTTGTAGGTTCAAGGCATGTGACAGATACCTTGATTGTCAAGCCTGTAAGCAATCTAAGGTCACAACATGCTCATACCCCAGGTCAGAGAGGCGAACCAGCAAACCCTTTGAACTTGTGCATGCAGATTTGTCAGGACCCATGCCAACACCTTCTTTAGCTGGGTCGAAATGGGTTTTGGTTCTGATTGACGATTTTTCGAGGTTTTCTTGGGTTTTTGCGCTTCAATGTAAGTCAGAAGCAGCTGCACTGATCAGAGATTGGATCACAGCGATAGAGCTGCAGTTCTCTACCAGGGTGATTTCCTTTCAATCTGATCGCGGGGGTGAGTTCACAGGTTCTGCGCTGCAATCGTTTTTCAGGCAGAAGGGTATCAGTCATCGATTGACTGCCCCCTACAGTCCGCAACAGAATGGGATTGCAGAGAGGAAGTTTCGCACACTACAGGAATCAGCAAACGCAATGTTGGCAGATTCGGGGTTGCCACAGCGTTTTTGGGCTGAGAGTTATCGGACAGCATGTTTTGTGCAGAATAGGGTGTACAATTCCAGTGTAGGCAACACACCGTATTTTTTGTTGCATCAGAAGAAGCCGAAGGTGGGGTTTTTTCATGTTTTTGGGTCTCCGGCTTGGGTTCTCACTCCAAAGGCCATGCGCAGAAAGGGTGAGCCAAGGTCTAGGAAGATGATCTTTGTGGGCTATGAGCCGGGTTCAAAGGCGTGGCGTTTCGCATACCCTACTGGCAACCAGTCCAAGCTGCTTATTAGCGGCAGTGCTGAGTTTTGCGAGCAGAGTGGGTGGAAACGTCTTCACGGGAACCCAGATGTTCTGTCAGACTCAGATGAGGAAGAGGAGGAAGGCGAGGCTGAACCGGCTGCTGATGCGCACGGTCCACAGCAACAGGGTCCAGCGCCAGTTTCTCCAAAAGGGAGTCCCAGGACCCCTCCACAGGTTTCTGTCAAGTCTGAGCCAAAGAGTGAGCCCTCCCCGCCTGCAGAACCAGTTGTGAGGCCAAAAAGGCGCAGCAGGTCAGAGGGGGAGGTTTCTGACACAGGAGATGGTAGGGTTGATCCAGGTGAATCAGGCGCAGTTCCAGAATTCACGCTGAGGAGGTCAGCAAGATCAACGAAAGGAAAGCCACCTGAAAGGTATGAAGCCACTAGTGTTTGGGTTGGTGTGGCTAGGTGTGAACCTGAATCCTTTGAGGATGTTCAGAAGTTGCCTCAGCAAGAAGCTAGCAAATGGCGCGAGGCGATGCAGAAGGAGATGAACTCAATGGAGTCTCATGGTGTGTTCTCACTCACACAGCTGCCGGCTAACCAGCGAGCTGTTACTTGCAGATGGGTTTACCGATTGAAACCCACAGAAGCAGGAGAACCACAGTATAAAGCGAGATTAGTGGCCCGAGGATTCTCACAGAAAAAGGGGGTACACTTCACGGAAGTGTATTCGCCAACCTCGAGAGCAGAGACTCTGAGAATGCTTTTGGCGATAGCAGCACAGAGAGGTTGGAAGGTGAACCATTTTGATGTAGATGTCGCCTACCTGAACTCAGATCTCAAGGAGGAGTTGTACATGCTTCCTCCTCCAGGGTTTGAAGTCAGTGAGCCAGGCGTCGTGTGGCGGTTGCACAAATCCATCTATGGATTACGTCAATCTGCCAGGAATTGGAATATGTGTCTACATGAAGCCTTAGAGGAGCTAGGTTTTAAGAGATCTCTTGCAGACAGTTGTCTTTACATTAGAGGTTCAGGCTTAAAACAGCAAGTGGTGCAGGTGTTTGTTGATGATATCTTGGCAATGGCACAGACAGGTGAACAGGTGGAGAAGTTTGCTAAAGAGCTTGGAAAACGGTTCAAGCTGAAGCAGCTTGGAGATGTCAAGTCTTACCTAGGCGTCCAGATAGCGAGGACTGAGGATGGTAGTTTTTTGCTTTGCCAGAAAGGTAAGATTGAACAGTTGCTTGAGAAGTTTAGGATGAGTGATTGTGCAGGAGTGAGAAGTCCTATGGAGACTAGTTTTGTGAAGGACAGTCAGCAAGTAGAACGCGCTGCGTTCGAAAATACTGAAGTGTTTCAGTCAGCTCTAGGGAGTCTGTTGTATTTGTCCCAGTGGAGCAGACCAGACATAGCATTTGCTGTCAATCTGCTCAGTAGAGAGGCTGCAAGTCCTAGTGTACAAGCCTGGAATGGCATCAAGAGAGTTCTGAGGTATTTGCAGGAAACCAAAGACTTTTGTCTTAGGTTGTCAGCTCAAGGAGAAGTCAAACTGACTTGCTTTGTGGACTCGGATTGGGCTAACTCTGAGGATCGCAAATCAGTATCAGGTCTAGTGATGAAGTTTGGGGACTCAGTAGTTGGGTGGAGGTCCCGGAAGCAAAGTCTCATAGCGCTTTCGTCTACTGAAGCTGAGTTCAGTGCGCTATCAGATGCTTGCAGAGAGCTGGAGTTCTATGTGTGTTTGGTCGAAGAAATCTGTGAAGAGGATTGTCTGCCCGTTGTGGTGCATGAAGACAATCAACCATGCCTTAAATTAGCTGAGACGGGGCAATTCAAGGCGAGGACGAAACATTTGGACATACGTTTTCAGAATGTGTGTCAGAGCGTTCGAGAGGGGCTAGTTGCTCTGAAATACTGTCCCTCAACCAAGAACCTCGCTGATGGTTTCACAAAACCATTAACCTTCCAGAAGCACGAGGAGTTCTGTGAGGGTCTGTGTATGGGGAAAGCATTGTTGGCTATTGTCCCCAGATGCAGGACAAGAGGGGGTGTGGAGTTTGGAACTGGCAGGGTTAAAACTCCGTGGTGCCCTGTATCTGGGAGGAGCTCTAGGAGGAGCTTGATGCAGGGAAATGCGTCACAGTGTGTGTCTGTGTTCAGTTCTACTTTCACTTCTGACTGAGACAGACACAGCTCAGCTCAGAGGAGCTGTGAGGGTGCTTTTGGAAGCACGGAGAATGGCTGAAGTTTCCGATGGATGTTAATGGATTTATTGCCTTGTAAATAAACGCTTCTAAAGATAAGAACCGATCTGCCTATGGACTTGATTTATCCCTTTCTCACATGGACTCAGGACCGCTGCATTACTCTGCTAGGCCAGCTCAGAGCTTCCAGGGATACGGAGCTGAACTGGGAAGCTTGCTGGACCCAATATTCCGGACGGGGAATTTATTTTCACCCCCAGATGATTCCCTGTTTGAAAGGGGAATCATCTTAGGGACTTCCTGTGAAATTCTGCGTCAGGGATGCTGTTCCTAGAATGGAGGTACGTGCAACAGGTCAGTCGCGATCTACTGGTGGATCCACAACTCTGGTCACTGCTCCCTGAGAAAAGCTCAACAACTCTGGGCAAAGACGATGGGTAGATGACTGGCAGGTTTTTTATTACTGGGAGTTAGTAACGTCTCTTGGAAGTTGGACGTCCCTGCTATAATGCATAGGTATATACACACAAAACAAAACCTGATAAAATTCATAAAAATCCATTAAATAAAACAACTACTCAGAGACAATTCAGAGTGGGAGAACTCTGAAATCACCTGTGGAAAGAATCTTGCATGTTAGATTTGGACCTTGGCAACCTTTCTTCCATTGTTGATGGTTCAGTACTTCACCATTATTTCCCCTTTGGGACCCCCTGGGGCAAAGATTTGGGGCAACCAACCATTTTACACAAACACACAAAAGGGGTACTTCTTACTGCAGTTCCCTTAATGGCTACCAATTTTACAAAAAGAAATTTGAATCAAGTTTCATGTGCAGAGCATAGCTTTGTCACCTCTTGGTTTAAACCTACTTTTTCTTTTCTTTTCTTCTTTTTTAAAACTAACGTAGCCACTGTACATGTACAGGGTTCATGATTCAGCAATCTATTATACCATTTGAAGTGTTGCATCCCCTGACTAAATTACCATTTTAATAAAGCCATGATTGGCTTGTCTTACCAGGGACTCAAGGAAGGCGAAGGGGTAGATTTAAGATTTAAGAGACCAAATTCCCAAGGGCATAAAACCTTTTCAGTTAGTTTAAAATCCACTTTCCCAGTTTGATGTCCTAAGACATTTCTGATACGTATGCTTTCCTGTTTCTTTTTGCTTAGCAAGCAGGCTTATAGATCTGAAACTTTAAATAGATCAGAACTTCAACATTCAGACAACCCAACAACTCAACTTTCCCACCAAAAGCCAGTAATAAAAGTTTGGTCAAGGCACATTCCACCTAATTATGAATTTGTATGTGCTTTAAACTTTGGCTTGACTTTAGCCTATTTGAAGTCTGATTTGAATAACAAACAAAGAGATGAAAATCCCCAGATAATCACTCAAATGCTTGATATCGCCAGCTCTGCTCCAAAACATCACTTCCTTCACCTCCCACTTCTTAACACTCTATTCCAAACTCTGAAAACCAATCCTTCCATCTTTTCCTACCAAAGAGCAAAGCTTGGCTGAATTTCAGCCCATCACCCCACCCCACCATAACTTAAAATTCACTCTCCAATGCTTGCAGACACGTCCCTTCTCCTTCGGTGATGCCCAGAATTGAACACATTGTGACAACTTTAAAGATGTGCCATCCCATGTCATTTCCGTAACACCTGCAATCATGTGTGTTGTGTTAGCAATTCACTCCTCCCGTTGCTGGATATGTGGCTAGTATGTCACATGTCTCTGTTTACTTTTTTTATTGAATATTTATTGAACTTTATAACAAATAAAAATACAGATCTCAATCATCATGTTATTTACCATTGTTTTCCCTCCCTTCCTCTGGACTTCCCTCAACTTCCCCTCTGCTGAGTTATTTAGCTTTATTTGTTGTATCCTGCTTTTCTTATATAAAAGCAATTTCCCAAATCATTTCTCTAAAGCATCTGTTCCTGAAATAAAGTTGTGAACGTTTATTCAAACCCTGCCAGTGAATCCAGTCCATTTTCTTGTTTCTGCAAATAGACTGTAAATGGTTCCCAGACTCTTTTGAAGTCCTTTGTGTCCTTCTCTCATAGTTTATCTGTTAGCTTAGCCAACTCTGCAGAGTTCATCAGTTTTTCTGGCCATTGTTCCTTTGATGGTATGTCTTCTGTCTTCCAATATTGTGCAATCAAGATTCTGGCCGCTGTTGTAGCATACATAAATAATATCCATTTTTCTTTTGGCAGCTCTTGGTTTGGGATACTTTAAGCAGAGGCTTGACAACCATATGTCAGGAGTGCCCTGATGGTGTTTCCTGCTTGGCAGGGGGTTGGACTCAATGGCCCTTCTGGTCTCTTCCAACTCTATGATTCTATGATTCTACTTAACAAAAAGGGTGTTTAAAAAAGTTCATTTTGAACATGAACCTGTTTACTTTCCTAGGCTTGGAAAGTGTCAGAACGGAAGTCAGTCTTATCTCTTCTGCTCTGCTGTGCTTTTGCACTCTTCTGTGTCTCCCTGTCTGTTGCTGAGGAAGAGAGAGGATGCCATTATGATCCGTTTGCTGTCGTCTGCAAATGTGATGAGCATCCCCTCAATTCCTTCATCCATGTCATTTATCAAGACGTTGAACAACGGGCCCAGGACAGAACCCTGCAGCACCCCTCTGGTCACTTTTCCCCAGGATGAGGAGGAACCATGAAGGAGTCCTCTTTGGGTTTGGTCAGTCAAATCCACCTAACAGTTACCTCATTCAGCCCACATTTTACCACCTTCCTCACATAAATATCACAGAGGACTTTGTCAAAAGCCTTACTGAAATCAAGATGCACTATTTCAACAGCAGTTCCCTGATCAACAAAGTTTGTAACTCCATCCAAAAAAAAAAAAAAAGAGAGAGGTTTCTCTGGCTTCACTTGTTTTTGAGAAAGCCATGCTTTCATCCTGTATATTTATATTGTAAAATCTTAAGATGAACGCAAATAAATTTTAAAAAGAATAAATGAGGATATTGACAAGCTGAAACATGTGCAAAGGAAGGAGATTCATGTCTTTATCTAATTTGGAAACCACACAACCCAGTGCTGCCGACTTGAATAAAATATTGTTGGGGGGCCAGGTAAGGCCTGCCTTGCACAATCAATCACATGATGCATGCACACCATTTGAATGGCAATGCCTATAAAGGCGGCAACTTTTAAAAAAAGTAATACTTTGAGCCCGTAGTTCAGTTTCCCAGCAGCTCCCCTTGCCCCGGAGACACTTCTAGCATTCCATCTCCTCTACCTGTGGCATTGTTCAGCAGTGGGGAAAGTGACCTCTTCACACCGGTTGTCCATTTGGTATGGCCCTTTCCTGGTTTTTTCCTGCCCCTTGTGTTTGTCTTTCATTTGTTCTCCTATGTGTGCTGTCAGTAGAAGCCACAATTCTGTGCGTACTCTAGGTGGTGCAGAAAGCGCCTAGAAGCTCCCAAGAGGTTGAAGTGCCAATCAAACTTCTGTTTTGCGCTCTATTAATTCCAATTAGCAGTACTGGGGGCGGTTCAGATTCTGGGGCAGTGCTTTTGTCCAGCAGAGGGTGTCACAGGGCCAGCCTACTTTCCCTTTAAAGCAAACTTGGGTCTCCAGCTGGTTTTGGACTACGGCTCCCATCATCCCTAGCTAGCAGGACCAATAGGGAGGGATGATGGGAGTTGTAGTCCGAGAGCTGCTGGGGACCCAAGTTTGGGAACACCTCTTTTAAAGAAACTTTTGCGTTTTGCCCGGAAAGATGGGACCTGTCCACGTTTGTATTTTCTTGTATTTTGTTTTCCTCATGACCTTTGTGAGTTTATTTTTTTATTTTTTAAGAGAAGGATAAAAGGTTGTGTTTGGGGGGAAAAAAACACCAAAAACTGGGGGGTGGCATCCTCAAATATTTTATTGGGGGATGGGTCAAAGACCCCTAGGCCTTTAAGAGTTGGCGCCTATTCCCTATACCCAAAGGCCTCAGGATGGTTACAACATAAAAACACAACATAAAAACACAAAACATCACATGTTAAAAGGGCATTAGATGACTTTTTAAAAATTATTTATTAATGTTCATATGTTACATCGGTAAACATGATCATGTTACATCACAAGGCTTATTTTACTATAATTTTCAACATGTATACAAAGTTTACATGCTAAAAGGAAAAAAAATCAAGGACAAAAAATTATTCCAAAATCATATATGTACCAACACTTTGGACTTCCTGTCTATCCCGTTGTATATTCCTTTTTCACAAATGAATGTATTCTTATTATTGTATATTTCTTTACATTTTTTCTAATACATTCCTATATCAATATGTACCCTTGGTCTTATTTCTCAACTCAGTCTCTTTCCAACGTCAATTGAATACTAGCATAGATAGCGAAACTTTACTGTATTTTTGAATATATATCTATCCCATTTTTAAATTTTTTTTTTGTTTTGAAGTGCCTCTCAGGCTATTTGTCAACTGCACCATTTCAGCAAATTCTTGTAGCTTGTTATGCCAGTCAGTTATTGTCTACCTTCCACCCCTTTCCCTCCCAAGTCCGAGCTGTGGCCGTTGCATATAGGAATACCTCTCTGCCAACAATACTTAACAGAAATCCCTCTGGTCTTTTTAGAAAGGTTATTCCAAACACGTTTTTTAACTCATCATAAATTAAGGCCCATAATACTTTGATCTTCATACACGTCAATTAGCCAAAGCTTGGATTCTAAAGCTGTATACAGTGGTACCTCACAAGACGAATGCCTCGCAAGACAAAAAACTCGCTAGACGAAAGGTTTTTCCGTTTTCGAGTTGCCTCGCAAGACGAAGTTCCCTATGGGCTTGCTTCGCAAGACGAAAACGTCTCGCGACTTTGTTTCCTTTGTCTAAAAACCGTTAAAACCAAGGGTGCTTAGCTTGAACAGCTGCAGTTGTGACTTGACTTCGAGGAGCAACTGTTAGCACGTGGTTTGGTAGCCTTTTCTCAGACTTTGCTCACTTTTGAATCTTTTCCAAAACTTTTCCAGAACTTCTCTTGCATCCATTTGGTAAGTTAAACTTTTAAAACTTTTTTGGGGGGGGTTGGATTTTGGGTTGGGGTGTTTGGGATTCAAGGACTTGGTGTTGTGGGGGGGTTTGCGATAATCTGGGAGCTTGTGGGGCTTTTTTGGGAATTTTTATAATTTTCTGTGACCATTGGGCCAGGTTTTTTTTTTTTTTTGAAAATTTTTCTGAGTTTGAATTTCTGAGTGCTGGCTGGCTGGGGGAACAGCTGGGGAGGTTTCTGCAGGAATCTGGGAGCTTGTGGGGCTTTTTTGGGAATTTTTATGATTTTTTGTGACCATT